CCCCCTGGTCAGATGCCACAACAAGATGAAACTGCCTTCTATTTTGACTAACTATCCTGCTCAGACACCCTGTTTACCTTCACCAGGCCTGAAGAGCTCTGTGAAGCTCAAAAGCTTATCCATTCCACCTACAAGAGTTGGTCCAATAAAAGATATTACCTCACCAACCTTGTCTCGCTCTTTATGGTATATCATGTCACTTAAACTACCTGATAACCAGGGATCCTAGTTTTCCCATGATTAAAAAAACCAAAATTCATCAAACATAAAAATCCAAGTTTTTCCACAATTAAAATGAAATGCTGAACTTTAGTTTCCCTACCCACAATATATATAGGCATCCATTGAGCACATTTTATTGATACATTTACAATTTTTAAGCTGACAGCCTAAGCCCCGCCCATTCTCTGCATTTTTGATTATCTGATCTGGCCCCGGTCCCAATTAGATCAGATAATTGGGGTTCCACTGTAGATGTTTTTATTTTTTCACAAAATGTAAAAACTAAAGATTCTCTGTAAAAACACAAATTCTGCATTTTCCACCTCCTTCTGTGACAAATGGATTTCTAGGATCCCTGCCAATAACTGAATATTAAAATTTTTGGTGTTCAGATAAATGAAAAAACTAGAAGGGCTTGTTTTAAAATGGCAAACTTAGCATGTATGACCTGGATAACGGTGGGGATGGGTGTGTTAATCAAAATCTATTCCAATCCAGCCTTTAACTTGGGGATTACGCATATTTTAATGAAATGCTGTCCCTGATCGTTCTCAGATAATGACCACTCCACTTAATCACACAATAGTTGACATTCTAAGGCTACGGCTACACTACACTGCGTCGCTGTAGCGCTGCTAGTGCAGATGCTCTAAGAGAGAGCTTTCCCATGAACTTAATTACTCCAGCCTCTGCGAGCGGCGGTAGCTATGTGGGTGGGAGAAGCTCTCCCGCCTGCATAGCACTATCCATACCGGTGCTTAGGTTGGTGTAACTTACATCACTCAGGGAGTGGCTTATTCACACCCCTGAGTGACATAATTTATACCGACAAAGCCTAAACTGTCACCACTATTCCTCATTCAACCCCCTCTTCTACCTGAAATTTTGTGTTTGTCACACATTAAAATTTGTTCACATTTTTGGGGTATACACTTCATTTCTTATCATGTTTCTATCACTTTGAGGGAGGACTGATCCTTTTATTGTGATAAAGTTCCTACTACAGAAACTTAAGATCACAAACACCTCCAGCTAATCTACTAAATATTTAACATCCCTTGTCTTTCTACCTGAGCTTTAGGCTCACAAATTTCAGTCAGTCGTGCAGAGGTAACAGAATCTGAGAGAGAAAGCAAAATTTTATAAGTATACCATTCAAAACAGGCACAGATCATCTCTGATGAACTAGAGAAAAGACACTTGAAGGTATCTAACCCTCTTTACTATAGTGGGTTGCAAAACTATACACATTTATTATGAGGACTTGTTTGGGCAGAATGAATTATGACTGACTGTAAGTGGTATAGCCAAATGCCTTAAGAGTCACTATTTTGGCTGAAAAGCCATTATTAAGAAGAATGGAAAAGAGGTCAGAGGGAGAAGCAAGGCAGACTAAATGAAAAATATTGACTGAATTAATGGGTAGAGGAGAAAGGATATTTGTTTATTATCTCCATCAATAAAGATTAAGCAAAGCCAAAGTGATTGCTACTGTGGGATAAAGAGCTGGAAGGAGAATGCTGATAATACAATGTACATGTTCAAGAGGAGAAGAATAGGGTGTGCATAGTTCCATTTCTGGGACAGAATACATAATACTGAGCAATCTGGGGAATCAGATGCTCAAAACAGCTCAAACATAAGGGACATAAATTTAGTCCTGTGGATTACATTTATAGTCAGCCAAGTTTATCAGTTAATTTTAATATTTATCAGACTTTCAGAAGCACTCATTACAGTAATATGTGGATGAGTCTTGTCTAAACTTTAACCCTACAGCAGACAAATTAAATGGTAGAACACCCCTGTTCTCTCCAGTCTTTTTGTAGGAAAAGTGCAGAAGCTGCAGGTGGACACTCAACAGGTGCACCTACGTATCAGTGTAACAAGGAGCAAATCTATCAGGTTATAATTTCACACCATTGATTTTTGTTCCTATTTTGTAGTGTGCACATAAGAAGAAGATTTGAGCTTTTATGCAAGGGAAGATTGACTTTCTGCAACAAGATTTAAAAAATAAAAGGCTGAAATACAACATATTCTGTTTCCATAATGTTTTAAGTATACATATATCAAATAATAGGAAACAGGAGCAGGGATGTATTTAAAAATACTGTATGAAATTCATCTTGGTTTACAAACTCTGTTGTCCAGTGCCATGAGTCAAACCTAATAATGATAAAAGGAGTTTCCAGCACCCACTGACTAGACCAGGAATCGGCAACCTTTGGCACGCGGCTCGCCAGGGTAAGCACCCTGGCTGGCCGGGCAGGTTTGTTTACTTGCCGCATCCGCAGGTTCGGCCAATCGCGGCTCCCACTGGCCGCGGTTCGCCACTCCAGGCCAATGGGGGCTGCCCAAAGCCGCGGCCAGCACATCCCTCGGCCCGTGCCACTTCCCGCAGCGCCCATTGGCCTGGAGCGGAGAACTGCGGCGAGTGGGAGCCGCGATCGGCCGAACCTGCGGACGTGGCAGGTAAACAAACCTGACTTACCCTGGTGAGACACATGCCAAAGGTTGCCGATCCCTGGATTAGACCGTTTTCTTTTTCCCCCAATCAACTTCACATGCTGGATCAGTTAATTAGTGTTTATAATCTATCACTGTACGTATAATATATGGGCTGAAATCCTGGCTCCGCAGACAGTCAATCCAAAACTCCCACTGATTTAAGAGTGCTATGATTTCACCTACAGACCTGATCACTGCAGTGTCAGAAAGTCCATGTGGTTTAACATGAACTCTACAGGATTCTATTTATACTTTAAGATGAGTGCATTATTTCATCATCTACTTCCCATCGCAAAAATCAGATTTTGAATCTGCAAATACTGAAAAGTTTTTCTAATTAGTGTTATCACACGTACTAGTTAGAATACAACTACAACAATGATTATAATGCAGTGTTACTAAATATAAAAGCAGTCACTGAAATTGTTGGCAGTCGTAACAAATCTATGCAATGCAGTGTTACCTTAAAGAAATGTACAGAATAAGAGTTAATGAAGAAATACTTCTCAGTTTTCAATTTATAAGTAACTCACACAAGAAACTGAGGAAAAGTAAAGTTATCAGACGTGTTCAGTCCTATTCTACCTAATAGGCCATCATGCAATGTCATTACTTGATAATTGATGCTACCTACAACTGTCTAACAATACAATACATGAGCACAAGGCAAAAGTTAGACTGGAGAAAACAACTGATTCTAATGTTATAGGCACATGTTATTAGAGTAAGTAATATCCAAGTTCTTCATGGCAGGGAATGTGTTGTAGGGCACCTACGACATTCTGAATATTATAAAGGAACAGGAGAGGCAGATTTACTCTGCACCAATCCCCCAGAAAATAGTTTTTTGGGGTTACAAATGTCCAGTTCTGTTAGGTGTAGTATGGACTGGACTGCAACCCTCAGATCTATACAGGGAGGGCCTCCTCCATGCAAAGTTCTCTCCTTCCCACGTGGAAGAGGGGGCAGCTACCTCCATGGAGCTATGGGATCATCTATGGGATGAAGGGGAGGAGGGGATCAGGGAAAAGCTGGCATGTCAAAGGCAGCAATGAAGTGGGGAAGATGTGCCATGTAACATTCCCTCCCCCCTCAAACTCTGTAGGGCTCCAGGTGAAAAGAGAATGCATTCCCAGGCCTTATTACATCTCTGTGCTCCCAACCCCACTAGAGAGATCCTTGGGGAAGTGGCCAGCTACAAGAGACCTATCAGCACAGCTCCATGGAGCCATGCAGCCACTGCAAGTGAGAAGTCTTTAGAGTCTGAGAACTGTTTAACATTTTGCAATTGGGGAATATTTCTGAAATATTTCAGTGTTTATCATGTGAAGGTTTAAATATTATCTTTATTCTGTCCCCCATACAACCCTTTCAAGGAAGTTCCTATCCTTTCCAGATTTAGTCATTTTAAAAAACCAAAGACAGTTATTTGTTAAACTGTTTAACATTGTCATTTTGTTATTAGTACAAAATGTTCTTTATCGTGATTTCAAGCTCACCTATATCTGAATCTACTTTTACAACATAACAGAGGATTTGCCATGTCAGATGAGATCCCTGGTCCATCAAGGCCTCATTTTCTATAGGCGGTGACCTATATTTAACATTTCTTTGGGGAGGGAAACAAAATGCACCAGGCAATTGTATACAAGTGGTAAGTTTCCTTCTTGCCCCTTACAATGATCAATTTAACCCATGAAGCATGAAATCCAATTACCCTATTTTAGCATGCATAATTACAGATGGTATTAATAGTCACAAAATTACCAAGTCCTTTTAAAAGCCAGCCACATGGTCTGACATCTAATTGTACAATACAAGAAACGTCAGGACAGCAGCCAGAAGAGTCCAAACGGATGGTAACCTTTGCTACTGAGCCCGTTTTTGCACAAGCGCCATCCCTGGACTGGATGACAGAACTACTGGGGGGAATGGGGTGGGAGAGGCAGCTACTGGAGCCGGGCTTACAGAGGCTAGCAGAGAATAGATCCGGGGGCTGACAGAGGAATGCTGGAGCGGGCAGAAGGAAAGTGGCTGGGGCAGAGCGGAGTCCCGGGGGCTCTGAGGGGCCCACGCAGGGCTATGGGGGAGCACAGAGCTCGGGGAAGGCTCGGAGCAGCCCGACGGGAGATCCGGGGCGCAGGGAGGAAGAGCCGCTGGGGAACCCGGGCCGGGGAGCTGTGCGCCGCGAAGGGCCAGGCAGGCAGGCAGGGTCTGCGGGGCGGAGGCGCTGCGGGAGGCCTGGGAAGTGGGAGCGGGTCCCTCACCTCTCTCCAGCGGAGCTGCCGCAAGCTGATCTTCAGCGCCTCCAGCGAGGTCTTGGCCTTGGAGCTGTCCACGGTGACATGGGCCCGCCGGGCGGGCCGGCCTCCCTCCTCCCCGGCACGGCGGGTCGAGCCCCGCTTGCCCCGGCCCCCCTTCCCCGCACCGCACCGCTTGGCCTGTCCCTTCGAGCCCGGGCCGCTGGGCCTCCTGCCCTGAGCAACCGGGGCCGGCGGGGGGACCTCTTCAGCCGCCTGCGGGGGCTCCGGGGCGGCCTCGCTCCGCTCCGGCTCCTCGGCGGGGAGGGCCGGGGACCCTGGCGGCTCCTGGGCCGGGGGGCAGCTCTCGGGCTCGGTCCCGGCCGACTCCATTACCAGGCGGCAGAGCTCCGCCGGGCCCCTCCAGCCGCTGTCATTGCCGCGTCCCTCCGGGCGGTACCGGTTGCCATGATCGCTCAGACGGTTGGCAACGGCCGAGACAGGTACCGCAAAGGACCAATCACCGTCAAAGGCAATCTCGCCTCCTAGCCCGCCTCCCTCCCCTGGGGAAATCACAGATGCGAGGGGCGGGGCGTATCCCTTGGCTATGGCCACGTGACTGTGGCTCAGGCCACCATCTTTGCAATGGGCAGAAAGCTAGTCACCAGTAGGACTGACGCTAGGAAGGAGGCCATTTTGGAAGTAGGAGGCAAGCTCTGAGCCAATAGACCTGAAGCTATCAAGGGAGCCATCTTGGAAGTGGGAAAAAAAGAAAAGGACTGCAGCCACCCCTTGTCCTGGGTGCCAAACACTAAGGAATCCCTCCAGTAGGGAATTAGTTTGGGGGGACAGGGGAAGAAGGGCTAATTGATTTAACCACAATAATAGTGGGAGACAATGTACTACAGCCACATGAACTGTAGCATCTTAAGGGGCAAGCTGCACTTGCTCACAGCTTGGAATCCCCAGGTGTTCCATTCACAGGCTAAAAATCCCTTTAGCCTGAGTCCAGCACTTCCCCCAGTTCAGGCTTTGTTCCTCGGGTGTTTCCAGGAGTCTTCTGGTGTGGGGAGCGAAGAACACCACATGATGTCACTCCCCACCTTAGCTTTTGCATATGGCGGGAGCCCTTTGTTTCCAAGCTTGGTTCCCAGCCCCGTCTGTGGAAAGACACTGACATCCCAGGATGGAGTCTAGAGACATGTGGTCTCATCACATGTCCTTGCAGAGTCATAGCAGCCATTACTGGAGGCTGTCTGTAATGTTCTCAGGAAGGCTTCCCAGGTGGGAGATAAGCTTCTCCTAAGGCCTATTGTTTTCCTAATGGCCCATTCCCCATCCACTGTCTAGACTAGAATGAAAGTAACTTGTCTAGTGGGCATTCCCCAGGTGTAACTACATTTGAAATACAGAGACATAGTCAATATTCATAACTTCAGATACAAAAATGATACATGCATACAAATAGGATAATCATATTCAGCAAATCATAACATTTTCAGTGACATGTCACATGACTTATCTTGCATAAAATACATCATAACTATGTCATAATCATATTATAATAATATGACTGAAGAATATGGGGTGCAGTGTCACAGAAGGCTTTCATGGGAGGACTTACTGGGGGCAATGTTTGGCATGGTGTACAGGGACTGAGGCCTGCAAATTAATCCCTTTACGATTAGCAGGGAGCATATGCATCCTCCCCCCAGCAAATGTTGTGGAAGTTACACTGTGTAGGGATCTTTGTCTCTCTCCTTTGCAGTGAACATTTTCAGTGACGGGAGGGATGACCTCTCCACAAAAATCCCAGGCTAGCCAAGGAAAATTCACCCTTAGACAAGGATTATCAAATCTCTGTCTTTAGTTTCAGGATACGTTTTAAAAATTTAATACAGTCCAGAAGACGCATAGTCTGACCTCCCCCTTTCCCAACCCTCCTGCCCAGTCTGGCTTTTACAGCTGGGCCATGTAGAATAGGAGAGGTAGATGGGAAGAGTAAAGTGGTGTGATTTCTTATTAGCCACTCTAGTTTGGGCTTGACGAGATTCATCACAGGCACAGTTCCATTAACCAAAGCCAGTACAATGTTCTGCAGCAGTGACTGAGGCTCTTCATCTTCATGGTGGATTTCCTTTCCCTTTCTCTGAAATGACTTGTGCTGAGATTAGATCTGTGCACTGGAATAACAACATCTCCTTGGAGTCAGACATGTCCTTTGCTTGCCTAAAAATAATAATTCAAGAAGGTGCAAAATCAGAGAGCAGCCCAGGAAACCGCCATCCCTGTGTTTGCAGAATGACAGTCTCCTACATTAACCCTGTACTAAAACAGAACTGTCCGTTCAGGAATCTTGATCTTGGAGGGCACTTGTGTTCCTAAACCCTTTATATCTCCTTCAAAATACACACACTCCAAAATCAGCCTGGTCTTTCTTAGTAACGTACATATTAATTGTTGCTGAAAAGGAATTGCTGGACTTGGCTTTCTTGATGGATGGCTTGGTAGCATAATAAATAAATAAAATAATAGTAATAATAAAAATAAGTAATAATTAATAAAATAAAGGCTGTTCACAGTCCAACGTAAAATGGGTTGGATATAGTCTAGCTCAGGACCTAAAATCATCCCCAAAATCACCATCATTAATTGGCCCCCTTGTTCGCAGGATCAACAGAGGGACGATGCACTGAACGGGCTTCAGAGAATGAACTTGCTGGCAGAGGTAAGACCCTTTGGCAAAGCAATGTGGGGAAATTTACAGGCTCATGGCTTGGCTGTATCTCTTCTGCCATTAGAGAACAACCATTTCCAGCTTTGCCAAACTGACGTCTTTCATCAGAAAATACCTAAATCATTTACTGTAAGATTGATATAAACAAGGACAGAACTTAAGGAGGTCCAATTTCAAAGTGTGAATCTAGTTTGTAAGAAAATTTTTAATGAAGCTACTAATCCGACATACCTAATTTAGCTGATACAGAGCTGGCCAATCCGGCCCTTTGTCACTTTGAGACTAGAGGATTTTCGGAATGCTTTGCATACTGAGACCACTCGGAAACTGAAGCTACTACAGAACGCAGCAATACTCTTAGTAAAGTGAGTTTCATTACACCAGTGCTCTGGGATCTGCACTGATTGCCAGTAAGTTTATAGATGAGATTCAAGACATTGAACTCCCCAAACAAAAGAACTGCCCAAGTTATTTTAATGGATCAGATGGGTAGCATGAGAATAAATAATAGAGGCATTTTTCAGTGAAAACAATTGCTCTTATAGATATATAAAATAAGCAAATATAATACTTTGTTTTATGCACAATTAAATCAAATCTATCAAAATATTAATTCAGGAAAGACAATTAATCTGAAAACTCCTGGGGGAACCTGAAGAATAGTTTTTAAAATAACAGAAGTATGTCTTCTTTTTGGGATTAGTAAAGTTAAATAGAAAACAAAAAATCCTGGATGACATGTTTTCACTTAGCCTGTAGGTGGCACTGCAATCTGCTGTGAAATTTATTTGTTACTCCAGAAAGTGCACCACAGTATTCTGTTACAAAAAATTAAAATATACTGTGTGAGAAAGAAGGCTCTCTAGAACTAATTAGAATTCAGGACAAGATGGTAGCTCAGACCATGCTATCAGTCACTGGAATCATGTTATTTATGTGGCAAAGGGGACAGGGCTGAATGGGAGGTGAGGAGGAATCACTTTAATAAAAAAAATATATTTTTTTTTTAAAGGGACATCTAGACAATGGTGGGAAGTAGAAAGGAAATGTCAGGAAAATTAAAATGCTACCGGTGGAATTCTAAGTACAGAAGATAGGATTCCAGGAGTTACCAGAGTATGTCAGATTTTAGGAACAAGTCTGTGTCTAAAGACTGGTATCCCATCTTCATCCGCCATCACCACCTCCTGTTTCACAGAAAAGGGGGGAATAGAAAACAATGTACCTGGCTAATTGTATGATTCTGCTGAAGTAGGAACGGGGTGACCCTTTCCCACAGGTGGACAGCGACTCAGCGCACATCACAAAGCATGAAGTTTAATCAGCCTGATGACATCTTATTACAGCAGCCTGCATAGCCTCACCTGAGATCATAAAATTAGCCACATCTTTTTAAAATCCAATTGCAGTATCTATCCTTCTGACATCTACTCCCTGCAGGGCACTGAGAGATTAATTAGGGAATGACTCTACCCAAGAAAGTGTCAGTCATCGCCAGGTGGCTATTAAATGTAGTGCCTTGGCTGCTTGATAGCTGTACAGATTCTTAATGAAAAACTCTGGAGATTCCCTGAGAGCATGACTTTTATGCTAAAGCCCTGAGGAGGACTCTATGCAGAGCTATACCAGGAGGAAATTGTGCCTCAGGCAAGTACACTCTCCAGATGTTGTTCCTTATGCATGTGTCCTTTTAAGATTAGTGATGGGCTCTTCATATCAGGAAGAATCTTTGTAGTGTGTGAATATAGAACTGCTGATTTCACAGACCCAGAGGCTGAAGTTTTCTATCCATCAGATACAGCACAGACCATGGTAATGTCCCACACTAACCAGCCTACATCTAAGCCCTTTTCTGAAGGGACCTCCTCCGGGAGGAAAAGAGGAGTCTCTTTTCTCATCGTTCATTCTGTCTTTGGCGTCTCTGTTGAGACTGCCTAAAAGGGTGCCAATTCTAATGGTGGTTTTAGTGATGACAGCTGTTCACCAACACCTCCCACACCACAATTATGATTCACCAACTCATGTCACACGGATCACCAAACAGCTACCAGATGGTAGCAACTGCTGGTGACTGCCAGCTAGAGTGGGATTTAGACTGGTGACCTAAAAGTGAAAGGCTCCTTATCCTATTATCAGCCTCCTGAGCCATCTAGCCCCCTGGGACAATGCTTTGTAATGGATGTTAGAGCTTTTTCATCACAGATGTCAGAAATGCTGAAGGAAAACCATGGATTTAGCTGACATGGGCCAGAACATTGACTAGCTTTTTGAGCACTGGAAATGTCCCGAAGATGCCAAACAAAATGACTGCATAGGAGTATTTTTATATAAAATTTTGATAGAGCCATATTTCTAAAAGGTTAATAATTCACTACCTACTTTTACCTAGTCATTC